AACATGCATGTTATGGTTCTTAATTATAATACTGTACTTGACCACTTTATTTTGATCATTATTATAAAATGATGATTAGTTTGTTCTTTTACCGAAAGTGACCGGTCAAAATGACCGGCAAGGTAAGAATTTGACCCGACAACTCCGCATTCTGGCCGGACATTGTCCGTTGACCGGCTGTTATTTCGCGCCCTGAGCTCATCTATATAATAACTATTGGTTGTTTCTTTATGACAAATTCAGATTCACAAAGATTCCAGTGAACGACGAAGACTTTGTGAAAGATCCATGAAGGTAAGTGTGTTTTATGTTGGATGCAGTAAAACTGTTTTTATGAAAGGGTTAATTTAAAAAAAGTTTATCCTTACAAATTTTGTAGGCATTAAAGAAAGGTCTCAACATAGAACCAAGTAACTATATTATCTGGAACACACTTGGCATTGTTGCTGCTTCAAAAGGTAAATGGACATAAGATTGACTAAAGGTGGGTTTACACTATCAATTTATGAACGTTTCTGTGATCACAGTAGGAATTTTGCATAGGTAAATTCTAAGTTTTGAAGGATTTGTGAGAAATGTTTGAGGGAACTGACTTACTGTTAAACACTGAGTCAGTTGCAAAATCCCTACTGTGATCACAGAAACTTTGAGTTTTAAAATCACTCATCTTAATCTCGGAAGAGACTTGGTTAACAAGGTTCATAAGCTTGTCATCGTAATTATTATTTTGTCATTCTTCGTTCTTTAGATGTAAACAATCCTGAGCTCAGTCAACACTCTTTTATCAAGTCTATTCAGTCGCAGAAAGTAAGTGCTAGACTAGTGAATTATGTTTTCTTGGTAGCACGTGCGTGTTGGCCTGACTTGATTTTGATTTTTTTTCTGTTTTGCAGAATGCAATAGCGTGGACGAATTTGGGAGTGTTATATTTGAGACACGGAAAAGCGGATGTAAGTGACACGGTACTCACTTGACTAGGTAGCCTTCGCTGGCTAGGTAGCCTTCGCTGGATCCTAGGGAGAAGATTTCTTTCCAAAATAAGAATTTCAGAATTCTTTCCAAAATAAAGTTAACAAAGCTTCCTTTTATAGTAACACTGGATCACAAAAGGTTGGCCCTTACTGGACTTCTAGGGAAGAACAGTTCAGAACTGATAGAGCTATTCGATATCAATAAAGTTAGATTAGTTTAGGTTTCCTCCTGTATAGTAACACTGGATCAATAAAGGTCGGCCCTTCTAGGGAGAACAGTTTAGAGCTAATAGAGCTATCCAGTAAGTTGGTGTAGTAATCACTCCATTTCTGTTAAGATGGCCAACCTAGCGTTCAACGCAGCTCAATGCACAGATCCTTCTTATACTCAAGCTTGGATTGGTCAAGCTACAATTGCTGAAATGTTTGCACATAGTGAGGCAATGGATCTCTATCGACATTCTAACGAACTGGGGACACATGTACGTACTGCAGTGAAAGTAGGATTTCTTTTTGAAGTATGGTGGTGGCGGTGGTGCTCGTGGTGGTGGGGTGTTATGGTATTGAGTGGTGAGGGGGTGGTATAGTAAAGGTATAGTGTGATACTACATATATGGTGGTGGTTTGTATGGTGTGGTATGGTATGGTATGATATCATGTGGTGTGGTATGGTATGTGGTATGGTATGGTATGGTATGGTATGGTATGGTATGGTATGGTATGGTGTGGTGTGGTGTGGTGTGGTGTGGTGTGGTGTGGTAAGGTATGGTATGGTATGGTATGGTATGATGTGGTAAGGTAAGGTAAGGTATGGTATGGTATGGTATGGTATGATATGGTATGATGTGATATGGTATGGTATGGTATGATATGATATGATATGGTATTATATGATGGTATAGCATGGTGTAGTAGGTATATGGCATGGTATAATAATTTACAAATAATTTATATCCATCAGGTTGAAGGATATCTTGGTTATGCTCACTGGGTGTGCCATACCCTGCTGTCCATACCACATGGTCAAACCTCGTGTTTTCTCAAAAAGGACAACCCCACGCAGATCTCTCACATCTACCACACAAACGTCGGAGTATTGTCCTCATTGCTTCTCTTGCTTTGACAAAGTACACAGGTTCATTTTACTTTATTTTTAAATACGAAATTAGTGGATAGATAAAAAGCGGCTTTGTAGTTGAACAAATACATAACGTACGCGAGGTCTTACACAGGTAAGAATAGGCTTCACTAAGCACTATTATTATATGGCTTTGCAGAATCCTGGATTCTGATTGGTCGACGTGCGGTCCGTAAAATGCATATCCGGACCGTGGTCCGTATTTTCCCGTCAGTGGCAGCGCCAGCCTT